AAGGTGATCGGGAACCACCCTGCCTCCAGCCGAGCCCCTGGCACTGAGCTCTAAACAGATTTCAATGTGAAGCCTGCTAAACAAAAGACACCTTTGAAAATATGCTAAAAATCCCAGTCTTCTGGAAGACCCTCCCTCTGAGCACAGTATGTGCTACAGTTTCAAAAGGCACCACACATTTCATCAAGGCCAAGACAACAGCAAATGCAGAGATGAAAAATGATGTATGAGGCCACTCCTCCCTAGAAACCTACAGAGGCCAAATGACCCAGAGAGCTACTCTGGGCAAGTATCTAATGAAATCTGCTATGTGGCTATGAGGCATTTCTGCCACTTCCTGCCCGTGGTTGCTAACTCTACAACAATGCGGGTCATTTGTGGGGAGCAGGCTACTGGTACAAGTTCTATTTATTGCATTTTAATAAATGAGCTCCCTCCACAGCCACTAACCAGAGAAGCTCAGAGCTTCCCAACGTGACCCAAGGGTTACCCCAAACCGCACTCCATCATGCTGAACTGTAGCACAGAAAGGGTCCCTGCTGCCTGACACAAGCGACAAAAGACCTTGTTCAAGGCCCTCCTCCCCTTAGGAAGCCCTCCCACAGGATTCCAGAACCCAGCGGGCCTCTTGTGCTATAGATTCACAGAGCTGCGGCTCCATCCATGGGGAAGAGCCCCGCCGCTGTTCCTTCTCGCCCCTCTGGGACATCTGGAAAACCGCTACTTGCATAGGAAGCTCTACTTTAAATCATTTCTCCAGTCCTGTTGATTAAAGCACAGAAAGTATCAATTCCATCTCTGATCAGCAAATAAAGGCCAGAGTGAACGCCCAGCTACCATTCCAGTAACAAACACAGAATGCTGATGCTTTGACCAGTCTAGGTAGAGGCCGACGCTTGGAGTTAGTCTAGGCAGTTCACCACCAGTAAAATACAGTGCACATTAGATATTTTTGAGGTATTGAAAATCATACAGGGCATCCTGGGACTGCCCTTACAGATTGATCTTCAAGGGTCTGGAACACCCAGGGTAGGAGTCCCAAGTCTAACACGCTTCAGGCAACCTTTCCCACCCTGCTGATGGGAGCGGTGCGGGACAGCCTGGGCTTCAGGAGCAGCACAAGCAGGAGAGCCTAATGCTCAAGAACAGTCTCACCAGGACGTCTGCGCCCTGCTCTCCAACTCAACCGCTGCAGTCTTCTCTCAGCTCTGTGTAACCTCTCCGAACCTCAGCTCTGCGTAATGGAGGTATCAGTAGACTCTTCGGAGGAGTAACTAAGAGACGAATGCACCGTGTGCAACCTGGTGAGAGGTACACGGCTAGCGTTCAGTAAGTGTAGCAACTGTCATCATTTAGCCTGGTTTGGGTCCAAGTCCCAGCCCCCATCCATGTTAGCTGCGTGAACTCGGGCAAGTCATTTAGCCTCTCTGAAGAGCAAAAGCAAATTATTAAAATTTTCCTTACTCTGCTATGAGAAAAATTACGTGAGATATCACATAAAGCATCTGATGATAAAGGTGAACACCTTTCTTCATGGTCTTACAATATGTGTGGTTTAATATTTCACATACTTGTACCTTGATTTTTAGTGGATTTTAGCTTGATGCTTCAGCTTCTAAGCTTTGTGCTTGTATCTTTACACTCCTGGCAGCTAGCACACAAGTAAATTTTAACTTCTGAGATGATAATCATATAGATGACCACATATGGGGAGAGAGGAATGATTAGCCTTGGCCAGAACTGAATAGGTAGATTTCTACCTCGTGCCCTTAATTAAAATTCCATAAAGCAACCTTAGGACTATAAAGGACTTAATATTTGCACTTGCTAATGTTCAAGGTGCTCTGAGGATACATTTCACTCTTTTTGCTGAGAGGATAGTCTGTCCAGCCCGTCGCTGGTGCCCTGTGGAAGCCTAACTCAGCAGGGGAGGAGGCTGGCTGACCACCCAGCTCTGTTGCTCAGACAGCCTATTGTTTTCTGCACACTCATCTTAAGCCAGTGACACTACTAAACTCATTAAAAATGTAGTTTCTTTGTGGAGAATGTCTCTAAGGACAAAGTGATACTGTAGTGGTTTCATGAATATGTTAATTCCTAAGATCTTTGGTAAAACTTTTGTATTTTTTTCTTACATGTTTTAATTACTCTTAGGATATTTCTAAAATGGTACAGCCACTGTGGAAAAGTTTGACAGTTCCTCAAAAAGTTAAACAGAGAATTACCTTCTAGCCCAGCAATTCCACGCCTAAATACATAGGACCAACAGCAGAATTATTCATAATACCCCAATATTGGAAATAACCCAAATGCCCACTACGTGATAAACGTATAAACTAAGTGTGGTATATCTATCCAAATGGAGTATTATTTGGCAATAAAAAGAAATGAAGTACTGATACGCTACAGTACAGATAAACCTTAAAACCATTATGCTAAGTTGAAGAAGTCAATCACCAAGGAATATATATCGTGATCACATGTATATGAAAAGCCCAGAACAGATAAATCTATAGAGAAAGGTGGTTAGTGGCTGCCATGGGGTGGGAGAAGGTAAAGGGGGATGGGGAGTGATTGCTAATGGGTGTAGTGACAAAAAGCACTCTGAAACTGACTGGCAATGGTTACCCAGTTCTGAGGGTCTACTAAAAAGCAGTGAATTGTACACTTTAAATGAACGGATTATGTGACATCTAAATTATATCTCAATGATGAATGCCATTACAACTCCTCCAACCCTCTCTCTGAACCAACAGGATTTCCAGCCCTTTTATTTTAAGGGGTATTTGGAAAATATAAAAATTCCAGAGCAAAACAAAGATAACACAGAGCCTCATCATTATACGCCGATGCCCATAAAGAAGGATCTGCTAATCTTATCTCGTGGGTCTCCTGAGTCTTCTCTAAACACCCCATTTAGAGTATTTGTGGAGGGGTGGCCGCGCCATAGTTCCCAGGCCGCCACCAGGGCCAGGAAGTGCCTTTGGTGTCTTTCCCATGATCTTGTCCTCTCCTCCCCAGTCCTTGGTTCCCTCTCGCCTGCCTCCCCCTAGCTTCTCTGCCCTCAAAGCCATCTACCTCCTCCAAACCTACATGAGATGTGATCAATGCCCCCTTCAAAATGTCTTTAAAATATGTTAATTCCAAGAGCTGTAGAATTCTTACCATTTTCCATATATATTTTAACCAACCTTATCCTTACTTTTAGAATACTGCAGCCACCACAATAAAAAGTGTAGCAATTCCTCAAAAAGGTAAACGTGGAGTTACCACAGACCCGCAATCCCACTCCTATGCATATACTGTGGTTTCTCTTCGTATGAAATTTTCCATTAAAAAAAGATGAAAGATAAAACTCCATTTGGTCGATAGACCCTCCAAAACAGCTCAAGTTCCTCAGCTGTCTGCCCCCTTCCACAGCCCAGAGCCAACCTATTTCTCCAACTCATCGCCCACACCCTCTCTTCTCCCACACACAAAGCAATGCTCTATGTTTACATCCTGGATCCATGTCCCACACACATCCGTGCCTTCTCTCGGCTCAGGTGGCTCCCTCCCGCCACACCCTTGTCCCGCTCCTGGCTTCTGAGCAAGAACCAGTCCTCTCTCCATCACTCTACACTGTGTAGCTACAGACCCTCCCTGGAGGCTCATGAGCAGAAATCTACTTCCCTCTCACTACACTGAGGCAAGCCGGGGCAGATGCCTGTAATCCTGCCACTTGGGAGACTGAAGCAGGAGGGTTGCCGCAAGTTTGACATCAGCCTGGGCTACTAGTGAGTTCAAGGCCAGCCTGAACTATATAGCAAGACCATGGGAGGGGCGGGGGGGAGGAGAGGAGAGAATTCCTTACAGGCAAACCTGGGGCCTAGCATGTAGTAGTGCCCCAGAACATCTGCAGAAGACTTATACTTGAAAGAGAGGTGCAGACACAGACTCTAGAAATTACACTGATTGATACCACAATCTAGTTTGGGGGCCAGCTATAAAGAAAACATCAAGGAGAAGGGCTTCCTTCGTGTCAGTGTAATTGTGTATTATGTGCTTTAGAGGTACATAAACAGGAACCAAAGCACACTGCTTATTATGACAAGGCACTTACACTGATTTGCATTTCTCTGCACAACTCTCTAGACATGTAATTTTGTTAATTTGTGACAAACCTCAGAAACACACTTACCACCAATACCTTGATTGCAATATATACTTTCAAAGCACACAGAAATCAACAAGTTCCTTTCAAAGGTTTCCAACTGAATCTGATGTGTGTTGTTTGGTTTGGTTTTAAACTGGAGGGTTTTAATACAGATCCTAATTTTTAATCAAACCTGGATCTAAAGGAAAAATAGCTTCACAAAAATATGTAAGAACTAGCCTAGCCTTGAGCGAAAGCACTGCCCACTAATGCATGATGATGCATGACATTAATAATAAAATTATTCATCGGAGACCTGGCCAAACAGAGTAATTTCTATCTCGAAAGTTGTTGAGAGACACTTGTACAGCAAAAACTTTGAAAACATGGGTGCTCTTTCTTCCTTCCTGGGATGCATCCTAGGAAGGTGGGACCTGCGGCCACGCCAAGCAGTCAGCAATGAAATTAGTAATAAGCACTTTCAGGGACAGGTAGTAAGCAGTCTGAAGAAAAAGAATACAGCAAAAACTGCTCAGTCCTGCCCCTCACATCTCTGGCCTCACTTGACTGATATCTCACTGATTTGGACTAAAAGCAAAACCTGTTTGTCTTGTTCCTCTTTTCAAAGACGCAAGCCTGGGAAAGAAGAGAAAGTGGCTTTCTGGTGAGATACCCAATTTCAAACCAACAAGCTGACATCACAAAGACAAAATGGCTCTTGAGCCAGATCCTGCTCAGTTCTAGGTCTGGTTCTTCCATTTCATTCTCTGTTGACAATTCCTAGCCAGTCCAGACCTCAGTCTCCACCTGTGCGCCAGGGCACTGCCAGAGTGCCATGACAATGCAGCAGGAAACACCTCAGTGCCAGGCACAGGACCAAACACTTCCTCACAACATCACCAAGCTCACTGACTTGAATAATAAATATAAATAACACAGTATCATCCTTCCTTACGGAAGACGGAGGGTGCTGTATAACAGAGGATGATAAGCTTCTAGATCTTTTCTAATTGCTGCTGTTCTCCTTAGTCAGGTCTGCCCAAGCCTGTCACATGACAGGGACGCTCCATGATTCAAACACTGACCATCTGTCCTGTTTCTCTGGGCCCTTCCTAGGAACTCCGTGTCTTCCTCTTAGGAAGATCTGGCCACCTTTCTTTAAAGGAGAATGCAGCCACCAAAGGTGACCAAGGTTCCGGCCCTTTGACCTTCCCAGACAGGGTCAGAAAACCCAGGCTCGTTTCCTTCAGCTAATGGGGAACATTTGTGTCCACTCTGCCTGGTTTTCTTCTTGGGACTCTCCTCAGAATTTCCCCCTTAATATATTTTAGGAAACTTTGCTGCCAAAAAAGTAAACGAAGATTTGAGGAAAAGCAAGTTTTCTTGGAGAAGTCAAATGATTTTTGCCCAGGTCACACCTATGGGTGTTACCTTTATGTCCGAATTCAAATCCAGAGCAGGATAAATTCAAAGGCTGTGTTGTTTTTACAATTCTTTGCCAAGCTAACTTTGATTTCTGAAATGTATTTAGGAATCGAATTTATTCCTCTTTTGCCTTTCGTGTGTGAACTTCAGTATCTGGAAAAAATGCCTCATTTATCCTGAGCATAGTCACTTGACTGGTAATGTGAACTACATACAACTCATCTTAAAACCAAAAAAATAAAGATTCTAGCTTTTTCACAGTCAGAGACAACACCAAGTCCTTGAACTAAAAGTCACAGGGCACCTTTGCCCCTGTAACCCAGAGGTTGATTTTCTTTTTTGGAAACATTTGCTAGAATTCTTACCTGAAAAAGACAGACGTACTAGCCACAAAGAAACCAAATGCACTGGACAAGCCATCAGTGCAGAAAGTGCCAGCACATTCAGAATAGGAACAAACAACTCCAGGACCTAATCCAGTTGCCCTTAAGACAGCAGTGATTATACAGTGACTTTAAAAATGGCCTGATAAGAATCAGCCAAAGATTTTATAGAATACAAAATCCCTAAGGCCTACTGAATCTAAATCTCCAGCGAGAGACTAAGAATCTATCTTTTATCCCAGATGGATCTTTTCTATTACCTAGTGAGTTTATAAACTATTGACATAGCAGACCCTCCCCCCATTACTGATCACTTCTCAAATAATTTGCACTAAGTTCAGCTGACACACAAGGTAAGATTCTCCCTAAATGAAACTGCCCAGCATCACATTAGCAGCATGGTATGACCCAGGGGGCCTGTGGGCCCAAGCAACTGCACAGGAAGGGGAAAGGAAGAATCTAAAACAGACAGACAATCAGAAGGGCAAAAAGTGGAGAAGGCCACTGATGTATCTTCAGCAACCTCCCAAAAAGGCAGCTACCCTCTCGGTCTATCTCTTAAGAAAATGTTAGGAAGGAAATTGACTAAGAGAGAAAAACTAACTAGCAATTTTGGGAAAGAAGGCAATAGAGGTTTTTCATCATCCTAGAAAACTCAACTTATCTACTAAATCAAGTTCCCTTCATAATTTTTTCTGTAATCCATGTGGAATGCTTTGCTAGGCAGTTCAACGGTTGGTTCAGGATAACCTGTTTTTACAATCTGTGGTTCAGTGATAAGAGTTATCAAAACCTACTGGTTATCAGAAACACTTACTTAGTGAACGTACTAACTGACACATACTTAGGGAAGGTACTGAGCAAAAAGAAGGGAAAAGCCACCTGTTGTGCTTACTTATTTGTTGCCTTGTGATTACTATAAATTTCAGGGAGCTGATACAGGGGTACAATGGGCCAAAGAAAAAAATCTAGCTGTTCTTCAGCATATTGGATTAACTCCTTACAAAAGCAATGCTTCCTTTCTCTCCAGAGTCAACACCAACTTAGGCTAATTTTTAACGTTGATTCTTTGGCCAAACATAGCACAATCTGATTGATGATACGGTCTTGGAGAAGCAATGAATATCTGCTAGGATAGACTCAAAGTGGTTAGTTAGAAGGAGTCTGAGGAATGCTCTAGTTCCTGTCCTTCACCGCAGAGATAAACACATCAGAGCAAGAACGGTCAAGAGAATGTGCCCCAAATCACGTAGCAACGTGACAGCAAAGCAAGACGCATTCAGTGACAAGCTCAGCATTCAGTGACGAGTGTACACGTAAGGAAGACATGCAGCAAATGTGTCCTTCTCTGCTGGACATGGGCCCAGCATGTCTGACGGTGGCCTGGGACATCAGACATAATCCCATGCAACCAGTCGTTTTGCTGATGGAAAAAGTAAACCTCCTTGTCACAACCACACAACCAGACTGCGGCCATGGGACAGCCTGGGACCTGAGCTTCTGCCTCCAGGACTCCCACTGTCTTCTCTACATCACAGTCCTCTTTTCACGATTAAACAGTGTAATATTTAAACAGTACAATAAATTTAAATAGAGTAACACATGATGGGTCCATGTAGCCTATATATGGAACCAGTTCTAAAATTTGACCTCAACCATGTAACCGCAAATCAAAAAATATCCAAAACCATCCTGGAACAACCAAATTAAATAACATGGTTGCTGACCACCTGAATTCTGGATCACTGGTCAGAAGAGTTGGCCCTCCATTGGTTTTGGGGCACACATGTAAGTGGGAAATGTAGAACAGCAGGACTTGCTACAAACTGAGCTTCAGCATTTTCCAGAGGAGGGCCCAACTCCACGCCTGCTAACCTGAGAAGTCAGAAGGAATTCAAACTGACTTCGGTGTGAATGTGTCCTTCCCTTCCTTGAGACTTGGTTTTTCTGGTCTATGAGATGGACCACAGGTGTTACAAAGACAAGTACAAAAGTAACTTCTATTTTTAAAAAGAGATTAATGGCACTCAGACAGACAGGTAGGCAGAACTCTATTTCTGCCTGGGAATCTTCTCTCTGCTCTCATAGAACCAGAATCAATGTGCAAAAGCAAGTGATACAGACTACTTAATGGAAACAAAAATACAATGAATTCCATAAAAACTATCATGAAAAGACTAGTAATTACATTTAAAAAGAATCAGTTGACGAAGATAGCTGTTCAAAGATAGTTCCCATTGAAATTCTTTCCGCTTTTTGTTTTTTCATCCAGAATAAAACACTATGAAAAGGTGTGTGAAACAAGTTAAGCTGCTTGCATATTTCCACTTACATAATACATCAACTTTTATTTTTTCCAGATACCAGGAGATAAGGCTTGGTATATTTCTATGGGAGGTATATTCCTATGGGAGGCTAAACAAAAAACCGTCTCTCTTCTTAATAGATTAGTACCTTATAATCCAGGCCATATGATCAATAAACCATATAAAATTAAATCACACTGACAGTTTAGGCAGAGAGTGAACTAAGTGGAAACAATTTTTTTTAGGAGTGCAGTATGTGGAATATTAAAATCACATGTGTATTAATTTGTCTTTTGGAAACCACATAAAGTTCACTTGCATGAAATCCCATGATGTTTATCTTACAGTTTTCCCAATTAAAGGTGTTCGAGAGGGACCTAACTGGTGACACTGGAACCTGGTCTGTTTTAGGGGAGACACTAATCAACAAATGACTCAAAAATGCCAAAATGCCCTTTAAAAAGGCAAGCAAACGCCTCTCATAATAAAATGCATGATCCCGACACGACTGCCTTTTTGAACTACAACCATTTGCTCAAACAGAACACCAACAGTGCATAAGCATAACAAACAGGAGGTTTACCTTATTAGCTGGGGCTGGGGAGGGGAACACACAGGGAGAATTGGTACACCTTACTGACACCATGAATGCGTAGGACCTTCCTAGCTAAACTACCACAGTTGTCAGGAATGTCCTTTTTGCAAATTCCTTCACACTTCTTTCCTCTAACAAGAATTCATCATCTCTTAGGACTGCCTTCTGAAATCAAGAGTGAAAGGGAGGAGGAAAACAATGAAATTGTACAACTCCTTATCACACACGCAGGAGGCAGGAGGGTACCTCACACAGCCAGCCTAGAAAAGCCTGCCCTACCACTAACAAAACACTGCAGTCAACACTGGGAAGTGGCAGACAAGTTTACAGCAGTGTCTCCGTGTTTAAGGTTTCCCGGCAGTACCCCCAGGACCTGGGAGGGTCTTTTAAAAATTCAATAGCTTGGTTACAAGACCTTCAGTACTAATCTGTCCCACTGTGCATGATAATAAGCCAGCAGCCACTAGGAAGGTAGGCCCTCCAGTGACAACTCTTTCACATAGCATCCTAGAAGCTGAACTGCTTCTGAGAGCCGGAATGGGTCAGGACCACCTGGATTCCGCACAGCACAACTCTGCCTCCAGCGGTCTCTTCGTGTCTGAAGGGGGCCACTCTTCTGTTAAGACTCTAAGAATCCCACCTTCCTTCATCTTGCACCTTTCCTTAGGCAGTCAGGCCAAGGACGAGAGGGCTCTGGACACTAAGGTCACAGCTACATAAAGAATCCTGAACCCAGGGAAGCTCAACTCCAACCCAAGAAGTCCCAGGTTGGCCCAACCCGCACGGACAAGTCCCTTTCCAAGGGACTTAAATCTGGGCGCAGGACTATTTTAAGGGAACTGAACTGGGAACACAGATGTTTCTTCAGTTAGCAGAGTTGGCAGAACAGCTCCTGGACCAAATCCGAGTTCTTAAGGCAGGAAGGGGCCTTGGGGAGCATCTACTTCAACCCACCCAGCCAAGTGCGGAGGAAACTGAGGCCTAGGGGGCAGTTCGGTGGTACACCCAGCAAGTGGCAGAGTGGCAGCGTTCCCGGCCAAGTCCTGAGCGCTTTCCATTACACCGCGATTCGCTTAAAAAAAAAAAAAAAAAAAAAAAAAGAAAAGCCTTTCAGGTTTACTTTAAATACATCTCTCGGTGGACGCGGCAGGCGCTTCTGCCTGCCCCCGACCCCGTTCCTCAGTCCTCCTCCCCTCCCCCTCCTGTACCGCCCACCGCCCGCTCCCAATTACTTTGGAAAACACTACCAGCGGCGCCCCAACTTTCCGGGGGCTAATTCGACCTGGTTCCCTAAGCAAGATCATGGCTTGCTTTTCCTCAAGTGTCCTTGTCGGGGAAATGGGTCGCCTGACCCCTGGCACCGACTCGGGCACAGGGCGGGTTAAAACAGATTCCGCGAAACCGCCCACCACTCCGCGCACAGTAGGCACCCGGGGGGTTGCGGAACGGCACTGAGCACCGAGCTTGAACCGAGTCCGGACAGGGTCCCGCAGGGCCAGGAGGGAGGGCGGCGGCGGCGGGGCTGCTGCTTCCGCGCGCCGTGGACTTGTGTGCAGGCGGCGAGC